CTTAGCTTGCCCTATCGGCGTGCCAAGCCCCGCTTCTTTTCGATACACCAAAAAGTTCCAAGTCGAAATTCAAGAACTTTTTTCTTTTCTTCATCACAACTGCGACGCTTCCATAAGTCAAAATTCAATCATCAACCACCTCAATCTCCAGGCGCAGGATTCGACTTCTTTGCGTACCCAACCACAACTAGCAGAAATGGCTCCTCAAACAGTATGTATAAGATGACACCGCTTTGCTGTTGGCCCAGTCTCCCTGGCATTCAGCGAGATCATGGCGTAAAACAGTAGGCTAAGGTCAATTTTTCATCATGTAGAAGAAGTCCGGCAAGCAGGCCAAGACGACGAAGAAGGTAAGAACTCCCTTTGATACTTCTACTGCAGACGCAGGAATTACTCACAATCTGTTCCAGTTCGTCATCAACGCTCAACAGCCCGCCAGCGACAAGATCTTCGACACCGCTGCCTTCGAGAAGTTCCTCCAGGACAAGATCAAGGTTGACGGCCGCACTGGCAACCTCGGCGATACCATTGTCATCCAACAGGCTGGCGAGGGCAAGATCGAGATCATTGCCCACAACGAGCTCTCTGGCAGATACCTCAAGTATCTGTGAGTGTTCCCCCCTTCAATACCATCGCCCAACATCAGGATACTAATACTCGATGCGCCTAGGACCAAGAAGTTCCTCAAGAAGATGCAGCTCCGTGACTGGCTCCGCGTTGTCTCGACCTCCAAGGGAGTGTACGAGCTCAAGTTCTTCAACGTCGTTAACGACGAGGCTGATGATGAGGACGACTAAACGGGCATTGGGCTATGATGCTTGGTGGGAAACCGGTGGCAGTGCATGGACTCGGCGTAGGACAGGCACTTCTCTATCATCACAGATAGATATGAATTCCCGCAAATGAAACCTACCAATGCAAACAACTGTCATCCCCCTTTAAATGTGATTATAGGTACAATTGAATTCCTCCCTTGTCTATGTAATTCTACAGCATATGGTATCTTTTCTTCTATGGTAGCGCCCTCATAACGCCCTCGAATGCCACCAAAGCCATTGCGTTAGCCGGGAACGCTCTTAGGAAACAAGGCAAAAATCCTCGCCAGTACCCCTTAGCGCCGCCCTCCGCATATACAGCTCGCGCCGCTTGCCACCAATTCCTGAACCTCGGCGTCCCATCATTTAGTTTTCCACCCATGGGATCTGTCATTATGCGTTGTTTAACCACGTCGCTCGGATAGCTCGTGAGCCAAAAGACTTGAGCACTTAGCCCGCCGGCCCAGAAGTTTATGGCCGGCGCGCTGAGAGTGGTACGGTCGCGCAGCACTCGCGAGAAGACGTCGTAGGAACCCCACCAGAAGAAGAAAAAGGAGCGGAAGAACAGCGTCGCGCAAAAGCCCTTGTAGACGCCGGCCACGCCGTGCGCACCGTAGATCTTGCGCACGCAGTCCAGCGGCCCCGAGTAAAGCCTCTCGGACTTCCGCGCCGAGTACTGGATCTGCAGGCGCGCCTTGACGTGCTCAACGGGCGCCGCGATGAAGCTCACCGTGCTGCCGGCCATGACGCCCGCGAGGCCGTGCCCGTACGACGGCAAGTGCGCCGCGGCGTGCGACGTTGCGGCGATGGGGCCTTCTCTCTCGGGAGACGACGACGACGACGATTTGCTTGATGGGGGAGTCAGGTGCCGGTAGAAGACGTGCTCGGCGAGAAGCCGCCGGTACACGGTCAGCGACCCCAACATTACCGAGTCCATGAACATCCACCCCACCAGCGGCGGCGTCGCGCCCTTGTACAGCCCGCGCACGCCCTCGTTGCGGATCGTCTGGACGACGCATTGCAGAGGCCCGCTGAAGCGCGTCGCGTCCGTCGTTTGCAGGCGCACCTTGATTGTGTCGAAGGGGTGGCCGACTGTAACATGATAGAGTCAGATCAACGATCCCTATTTTAGGGAGGGAGTTTTTTTACCCGTCAGCTTGGCAATCCCGGAAAAGACGCCAGCTACGAAACCCTTGTAGTTCTTGCTGGCCTCTGCCGGCTTCTGCTTCTGGTCGGCCGCCATTTTGTACGGGCTACTAGGTACCTTAACATTGGTGTATATGCAAAAACTCTATGCAAAGCGGGAAGTCAAAATGTTACCTAGAACCATAGAACTTTAGCTTGAGGAAAAGCGGTGACGTTTCTTACTCGAATTAAATTTGTGCAATTGCTAAGCTCCCGGGTTCATGTCCGAATTAGTGCCGAGATCGGCGACCGGGTTTATCGGACTTGGGAGTCTCTCGGTCCGTGCCGTCTTTATGAACTTCGGAATCGGAACCAACTGTAGTACATAAAAATATTCAGAAACAGAATTGGACTGCGGGAAGGCCGTTCCTTAGGCCTTCGAAAGTTTCAAAGGTTAACATTATGAGCTTATCACCATTCCATGAATGATGCTACCAAGGCGTTATTATAACTCAACTCGACTACTGCACCTCAAGCGACGACTCGGTAGTCTAACATGTCCCAGTGAACTATCTCGACCCCAAAGTAGGATGCATCATGGTCTCTCAGGAACATGACTATATTCCCGCACGCTTTCACCCACAACTCCCCGTCAACAGCGCTATAACCTCGATCGTTCTCGCTCCAAGCAACCACCATGATAGTCGGCACAACTGTCGTATCAGAACCTTCCATTCGCCTATAAGAGCGCTCAAATTTGATCGACCAATTCTCCCGGAGCGTTTCTCGTAACCCTAGGAACTCGTCATTCGTTCTCAGCTCCTTGATGGTAGCCTCGAGGTCGCAATTCAGATGCCGTTCTCCGTCCTGCGGACGCCATGGCTCAAGGTTAGGATAGCACACGCGTTTCTGTTCGATTCGGGAGTACGGGGCAACTTCAGCAACCATCCATGCCTCGATATGGTTCTTAGGAGGCGGCTTGTGGAAGCTGAGGGGGAAGGTTTGCGCTTTGTCGAGCTTCGCTGTGATTGTGTTTATATCTGATCCTAACGGCATTATAGAGCTTGATCTTTATTCAATATAGCCACTGCCTGCTAATTCAAAGGATGAGAAGATGGCCAAGTCCCAAAGTGATTATACTCGATAAAAGACAGAGCCAGTATTTGGTTAGTTCAGAGAAAGATTTCGAGACTGTGCAATTGTGCTGACGCTGACGCGACCGGAAATATTCACTAGCGTTACATTGTAAGAGCATTCAAAGAGCCGCAATATCATACCAACATAGTACTCCTTCGTTCGTCACAATAGGTACAAAACCATTATTTATCTACCCTAAGCGGGCCCCCTTAGATGATACCTACCTTTATACTCAGATTACTTACGGATAGATATCATCTTAGAGGGCTAACCCAGGACGAACAAGCTAATCCTGTATTAGGATAATGATTCAAAAGGTCTAAACCACATTTTTGGCTAATTTAAAGCAGTGGTTTTCAATTCTATCGGTTTAGGATACCGTGAATAGATTGATTGATGAGTGATGTGCCGCAAATGCGTACTCGTAAGGCCTATACTAAATCGCTTCCTAAAGCCTCATTCGCCACCGTTATATGATCTCAGGAGTTCATCATTCAGCGACCAACATCGTCTTGGGGGCTTCTGCAAACTCGTAAGCCGAAATTAGTACTTCCTAACTTCGTGTCCAAGGTTCTCGGTCGGACGTACGTCCCACGAGAACGGTAACACCTGTGTTACCCCTGACCGAGAATACCAATCTATCGGCATCAATAAATTACCGATGTTACCAATCTACCGACCGTAGATAGATACTATTATACCGATACTATGAGGAGGAATTTCAAACGAGTTTCTCGGTCTAAGGGCCATTGAACAGCACATACTAGGGCGGATCAGCGAAGACGGCATCGTATACATATAAATAATTGTTCCTCCTCACCCTTCTTCATCATTCTCAGTCTCAACATCACCTCTACAATATACTCCTAATCTCGCAACTACTTCATACCTCGACCTTAGTACACCATGAAGCTATTTGCCATCCTATGCTTCGTTGCGTCCCTCGCGGGAAACGCCGCAGCAGCCGAATGCAACATTGACGCCCCCAACTGGTGCTTTGACGGGGAATTGGCGTTTCGATGTCCCGGTAGAAACGTGAGTGACTTCAAATAGCTGTCCAAATTTTAGATAGAACGAATCGGCTAACCATTATCCAACAGCTATGTTACGTTGGATGTGAAGTATTCTACTACTCGCCCGGATCGGTTGTAAGTGTTAACAAGATATTACAACGGTATATCAGGATCTTCAGATACTGATAGTTGTCTGCAGGTCAATTGCTATTAGATACATATCTGGTAGACGTGAGGAAGACGAGAGAGGACTAGGGGAGGAAACCTGTTTCTGAGATGGATTGGCCGTGTATTTGAGTCATTGCCTCTGACTACCTCTAATTACTCTTAGAGGGAGTCTTACCAACATTTGCTTCCCCAATGACTATGTTTATTTGCAACCGGTAGACCAACTCATGTTTTCACGTGTTTCCTTTGGAATGATACAGCATGCTTTAGAGGAAAGCCACAACGAAGCATTGATAGCAAACCAAGTTATTTCCCACAGCCAAACTACATGTAATTCATATTGCTTACGCTTAATTGATTGAACATGCTTATCACGGCGAGAGGTATGTTGTATTCGTTAAGCCTTGGATTGTTGTATCCACCCAACTCTGAAGGACGAGCGTGGTTGGATAACCTAAGGGGTGAGCATATGTGGTGATATCCATCTTCCAGTATACAAACTATGGGGACGCCATACACGGTCGTAATGAAGGCACGGAGGAAAATATAGTCAACCTAGATTTGTGTGCTCGTGTCTACCCACCTAGGTAGGTAGTATCATACATTTAGTGTTGAGATAGCAAGAAGAAAGCAAGTCAACATCTAAGCACAAAATGGGAAAGGCGTTGTTTGCTAACTACCTGGAGGATGGAGAAAATTTCATCACGATTAGGCTACACCCTACCTAGTAAACCAAAAAAATTGACCCTCCTGGGGATCGAACCCAGAATCTCCTGATAACTGCCCGATCGTAGTTCACACATAATTTCGGTCGTAGTCAGACGCCTTACCAATTAGGCCAAAGGGCCTTCCTAACTCGTGCTCGTGATGCTTTTCTTGTTAGAACGGCCACAGTTAAAAGGATACATATGGTGTTGGCAGATCCCTTCACAAACAGGGACTTCATTGACAGAAATTGTCCACTCATTGAGAAAGTGAAAGCCAGACATAAATTCCTAGTTTCACATTGTGTCGTACTGAATTTGTCTTCGCTGTAGTTGCCATGTGCCTATCAACCTTTCCTTGACTTATAGCGACTCCTCCAGATTTCAAGCATCCCATATTACTTCCCGGCTAGATCATAATACTTATTAGCCATTAGTGTTTTGTTATGAATCATTTGGAAGACCTAAGACAGACATGTAGCAAATGGTTTGCATAAGGGTTAACTCACTACCTCTGCGATTCTCTCCCCTTCAGTATCGCGGTGTGTTAGGGAGAAGGCTTCAGACACCTCGGTTACAGTGCTAGTCTCTGAAGCTGTAATTAGGGTTTCTAGATACGATTAAGGGTGCATGCGATGAGTGAGTAGGTATGTTTGTATTGATGATCGAAGAGAGGGATGCAAATAAAACCCGGTTCCTAGTACAAGCCATATAGTCGCCGGTCATCGTTTCTCTGCATTTATGGCTATGGAACATGTACCATGTGTTGTGTACTCTAGTTAGAGCCTATTTTGGACCCGATTGCTCCTGAGGACTGGGGTTTAAGCCACGACTATCTTTGCCTGATGGTGTAGGTCCTCCGAAACATTCCGGGACAATTTGAGGACTCGGTTGTAGTTCTGTCTTGCTCTCACCACGGTTACTTCCACCTCGATGGTCGTCATTATAATTCAATGGGCTTGCCGACTCGCTAATACTGTGAAGCCTTGTTGACAGTCGGAGAATGGTAGCTTCATGGTAAGCATTTAAAGCAATGCGGCTAGGCTTCTCTTCCTTTCTATGGCCGGTGCCTGGGGGAGGAGAGATATCCTGCCAGCCCGCTGCTTGATCGAGAATAGCAGCTCTTCTGGCCCGTGTCATGGTATCCCTGCCCTGAGGGCTGGCTGGAGACGGGACCTTTGGAGGAGTTGTTGGCGGAGTTGTCGAGTTCCCGTGAGATTTGTGTGTGGACTTCGGGCTTTCGGCGGCCTCTGTGCTTCCTTGTCTAGACATCGTAGTTGCAATGCAGTTAGTAGTCGTAACGGAATATGCTGGTATGGATGGTAGGTGCAAATAAGCTATGGTCTCATGGAAGATCGTGAGAGGAATACCAACGTGTACTGAACTTTATAAAAGCCAATCCTAGGTACGTTTGAAAGCACAGTCACATAACTGATAGCTGGAAGCAATCATGCACTCATATCTTTCTAGGGAAACAGGGTGACAGTACCAGCTTGCTTGTATTGCGAGCAAGACCAATCTAAAAACAAAATTAATTTTGCTCTACTTAGGCACCTATACAAAGTTACGGCATCATAAGAGATACATTAATTTGCTGCTATCTAAAAGGTACAAACAATTACAAAGTATGTAGGATTGCTTCGATCGTTAAAAACATAAAAAACGCTGCAAAACCTATTCGAAAAATAAAGGGGGGTCCAGAGAGGAGAACGAATGAAAACACTATCGAAAGGAGGTCCATGCAAATTATAATAAGCATCATAGTGAGAGTAACATGCTCTGGTGTTCATGACTCCGTCCATACCTGGGTAGGTAGCAACAATTTATGGCATATGTATCTCTAGCAACACATCAATATAACTCCAATATATATATGAACAGGCATCTCGAAGGGATAATACGGAGTGACATTACCTACCTGAGATAGAACTAAAATATGATCTCCAATCCGGGCTTCATAGCACTGCCTCTAGTAAGATACCAACCCCGGAGGTGTTCGTTAGTAGGATCCTCGTTATATGGCCCAATGTTGTGAAGCTCAAATGCATTCCATTTCTCTGCTTCAATCAACTGATGCCAAGAACCATCACGACACCAATGTATGCGGAACGGAGGCGGCGGTGTTGGGCCATCTACTGTCAAAGGTTTAAATGGCTTGTCCCTTGCAAACGCCTTCTTCACCTCATTGTAATGGTGCCAAAATGCCAGCCGTCCATGCACGAATCGTTTGGCCGTTGCCTCTGAACATATGTGTACGAACTTGATTTTTGGGATATTCCAATCACCTTTTTGGCTATCTCTTCGTAGCGACAGGTCTTCTTGGAATCTTGTTGCCATGCTCTCGAAAAAGGATAGATTTCGAGGACCACCATCCTTATACATGTTGAAAGAGTGCAAGGAGTCGCCAACTACACATATCCTGCCTGGGAAATCGTAGGTGTTATGGTAACAAAGTATTTGAACTACCACATCGACTTCTTCGATAGGGACGCATTTCCAGAGTTCCTTGGCGCCATGGTCCGTAAGTGTCTCGTTGTTTTGGTGGCCCTGAGCCTCTGGTTGATGCCTCTCATCTGCAGAGCCAAACCAATGGTGGATACTGTACCAGTCCCATTCCTCGAAGAACAACTCCTGAAGATTAGGGAGAAGTAGCAAAATACCCTCTAGATGGATCGGCAAGTCATTAACAGCGCGGTTGCCTCTGCCTATGACAAGTTTCTTGATCTGCTGGAGATCCTTAACATCCATTTGCCCGATAGGATCCCACCAGGACGCGGATAGTAAGTTCCCATAATCAAGGCCCTGGTGCCAGTGAGGGAAACGTTCGGCAGTGTACAGCCTATCACGACTGAAGTGAAACCATGTGCGCGGCGGCCGCGTACGGGTGCCAAACACAATCTGGTACCCGAAATCCATTAATACCTTGCGGGACTCCGTGCAGGTATGTAGGAATGGCGGGATCGGGGCTTTGCTATAGATGTAACTCTCACGGATGAGTTCAAACGCTACAGCTACATTGTCTTCCAGCCAGCATAGTGGGATTTCTGGGGTATCCCTCGTTGGCGGCCATGGCTGATAGGGGCGAACCTTGGAGGTAAACCCATAGGACTCAAGACACGTTTGCGTGTGGGCTGTTGATCGAAAAGGTATACGATGACGCCAGTTGTGGGCGAAATATGCGAGGTCAGGGTGCAAGTTGGTCTGGAGCGGTTTGGTCTCGTATCTCTCACTAAATTTCTCAAGTGCCCAGGTGTACTTAAATTGCTCGTAGCATAAGTTGTTCTCGTTGTAGGCTTTCCGAAAATCGGCGTCTTTTTCAAAATCCCAAGCTTCCCGGACGTGGACAATTCGAGGCGGTGTAGCTAGGATGTAGATTTCTCGCCGTAGTTCGAATGGCAGAAAAGAGAATAAATGAAAAATAGGCACCGCAGAACCCATGTTGCCCACTCATGGGACTGTAAAGACTGGTAGGAGAATAAAAGTCAGAGTAAGTGGAAACAAAACTTCTGGAGTAGGCTTTATTTGAGAAAATGTTCAAATATGCCCCAGTCTTGGCCCCGGCGTCGATCGGCAAAATAGGGGCACAGCGGCTAATCCTTGTCTGCCCATCGGCCTATCTACCTCCTAATATAAGAATAAATAGCACCTTATTTATATAGGAAACTCAATAAAAAGAAAGGGGTGAAGAAAAAAGCAGAGCAGCGATACCTAGGTAGGTAGAGATATACTGTACCTATCTGGGTAGTGATAGATTCCACATGAAGACCTAGATGCCGTAAGAGATTGGTGTTTTAACGTAAACATATTTAGGAGTAGACCTACAGTCTTCATCTAACCAATAGGTGATCAGATTAGGTACCTACCTAGTTAAGGACAAATAACAATCATTCATTTAAACAAGCATTGGCTTAGCAATTCAAGGATGTAAGGATGATACAAAGTAATATACCTAAGTGCGATCATGACATGCCAAATTCATTATGTCGTACAACCTGATTTGAGTACCTACACAGAATGGTAAGTGTGCTTCAATTAGGATAGTCAAGAAGTGGTGGTGTAACTAGGTAATCTTCTCGAACCACCTCTCAAGATAGAAGAAAATTATGTAATTAAGAAAGAGTTTTGGCTGTATTGTCTCCAGCTGAGCTATTTCAAAGATCAAGCAAGGTGAAATTCTTGCCTACCTGACACCTTACCTAACACATGAATTGCTACATGTTTTACAAGTTATAATGTCTAAGACTGTAATGGCCCTAGGTGACTTCAATACCTGAATTTTCCTTCTAATGCTCAGTACCGTCAACATAATCGAACGCCTAACTACCCCTACTCTAGAAGTGAACATTTGTCATGAATCAGGGTAGGTAGTCAGCGAATTGCCTTGAGCAAATACCATGAGTTGGGCATGCATTGGCCTCTGGGTAGTAATATTGGAAGATCGTGAGTAACTGACCAAGCACCCAATGAATCACATACTGATATTTTGTGCAATGCAATGGAACTAGTCAAATTACCACGTCTACCTAGGTGCCTAGGTATTTAAAATCTTGGCTGGCTGTCTTCTTCCACTCTATCTACACCAAAATCAAAACAACAAGAGCCACAGACTACTTCAAGACGCATTAATAACACTTCGGGTTAATCGCCTATCAACTCATTTGTTCGTTCGACCTTACAACCCTTATCAACCTCGCAAGCGACGATTTCATCATGGCTAGTGTGAAGAAACCCTATGAGTTTCTCATGGCCGATATAGCGAACGCAATTCATAGTCAAGTGGGGTACTTTATCGGACTTAAGTTGACTAGAGAGATCGAGGAGTCCGGCAAAATCCCTCACGGCCTATTCTGGGCCCGAGTTGATCCGAAAGAACTCATCCCCCGAGATACAATAGAGTGGGAAGAGGCGCAGTGGCGGACGATCGTGCCTGTCATATACGTCGACTTTTCGAAGGTCAGGGAGCCTCCGGTTGTCGAGAAAAGGGAAGACGCCCGCTGGATCATCGATGTAGTGGAGAGAGTCTTCGATGAACACATCACAATATACGACGATAGCCCCGACTGTTATCCACCTGGAATAGGCGTGGATCCTCGCCGGTACCTCGTCATCCTCAAACCGTTCAACATCGGCATCGGGCCCAGAGT